CTTCCCCCCCCCTTGCGCGACTTTCCCCCTACGTTCCCCCCCATCATCATCATCATCATCGTCATCATTAACCATCATCATCATCATCATCAATCTCCCCGTGCAAACTTTTTTTTTTTAACCCTACCTACCACGCTACCACCCAATCAATCGTAGATAGGATCGCTCCGCTCTCGATTTACATCAAAACTAGTTTATTCCTCTATTTATTTATTTATTTATTTTTCTTGTTTTTAGAAACTCATTTGAAACTAATGTAAATTCGAAAATACTTGATTAACTATGTTTCTCGACATTTCTTTTTCAAAAATATTTTCTTTTTCAAAATTTTTGAAAATACGTTATCCATATTTATTACCATCATTTGTAAGAGTTTGAACTTCACAAGACCGACCATACAATACATACGTAAAAGAAAGCCTCAGCATCGATCAATCCAGCAAATTAGAATTGAAAGTAGACGCAAAGTGAGTGGCTTGCCGCTTTCTTTCTTTCTTTCTTTCTTTCTGTCGCATTAATGAAACAAGGGCATTTCTTCTTCGAAATTCGAAAATAATTCTGAAAAACTCTTTTTCAAAATTTTTGTAATTCAAAAATATTTTAAAATTAATTAAATTTCTTTTTTAACATTTCCTTTTTTTTTCGTAATTCAAAATACGTATAATTAATTAATTATTATTATATATATATATATTTTTTGACATTCCTTTGAAATTCGAAACTACTTTTCCTTCATTCATTTTCGAAAATTTTGAAAACACGTTAGAATTAATTAAATTCTTTTTCTATATATATATCGTCACAAACAGAACTGCCCGGTAAAACCGTAGGCAGAGAGAGAGAAGAGGACAACAAACGAGGGGCTGTGACAAACTGTTTCGTCGGAGTTTCACCGACTCATCAGGAGGTATATATTTCTTCAAAATTCAAAAATAAATTTACTTAATTCCTTTTGAAATTTCACGCTTTTCATACCCCAAAATTCATTTCGAATAAATTTAACCAGAATTTATTTCTCAAAATTAATTATTATTTTTTTTATATTTTGAACATTTAGTTCATTCCTGAAAAATTCGTGTTTCGAACTTTTCTCCCACGAAATCCTTTCCAAATTTTCGAATTAATCTCGAATAAATTACTCCAAATTGGAATAATTTATTTTGAATTAATTCACATTTTATCCCTTTATTGTTTTGGCAAATACCTTTATTTATTTTTAAATAAATCGATTAATGTTGTAAATACCCTCCCCACCCCCACCCCCTGCCACTCCCAAATCTCCACATGCCACCACGCCAATCCAAGACCTCCCAACGCGCAACCGCCGTCGCCGCCGCCGCTGCCGCCGCGCCTGCTTCCACCTCATCAGCAGTCGTCGCCTCAGCCATCGCTGCTACAGCATCCTCCACATCCGTTCCGGCGGCGTTCTCCACCCCCTCTTCCCCCGACATGACCACATCCTCCATCAACATGTATGACATCCGCACCGACTCGGTCGATAGCATCACCCACATGTCTGACATCCGCACCGACTCGGTCGATAGCATCGCCCGCAACCTCACAGGCGAACAACCACCTGCAAACACCGCCACCCCCGACCTCTCCGCCATCCTCCACACACTCAACACCCTCCAAACCTCCGTCACCGCCTCTCTCAACGATATAAAGGCCACCGTGTCATCCATATCCGACCGCGTCACCACACTCGAAGGGAACAACCCCTCCATCACGGTCGTCACCACGGCCGCACCTCCCTCCTCCACAGCGCAAACCACTCCCTCCTCCACAGCCGCCTCCAACAACACCCCCCCGCCGACCTCCTCCACTCCTACCACCTCTACCACCACATCCACCAACCCTCCCTCTTCAACCCTTCCCCCCTCCTCATCATCCACCACCGTTTCGTTCCCCCCACCTCCTCCCTCATCCGGCGCATCCAACACACTGCCTCATTCCTCGCCCATCCACGTCACCCCTCTTTCCCCCCCGCACTCTCATACCCTTCCCCAACCCATCATGACGACCTCCACCATCCCCATCATCAGTCCCACCTATTCCCAAGTCACCTCCAGGGCTTACCCCGCAATGCCACCATTCCCCCCCAACTCCCTCCTTGAGGACAACAACTCGACTACACCTGCTACGGCACCACCCCCGATAACCTAAGCTTCAACACCCTAGCCCAGATCGTTTCCCGCGATGGGGAAATCCCCCGTTCCTTCCGATCCGGCAAAATCATGTCCTTCTCCGGCCTCCCCCACGAGGACGTTTTCCTCTTCCTAACCCAGGTCTAGAACTCTTTTCACCTCCACCACATGCCCCTTGCCCACTAGCTCCCCATTGCCACCTCCCGCCTCCTCGGCAATGCCGCCAAATGGTGGATGGCTGAAGTCAGCAACTGTCGAGCCTCCGGAGGACCACGTCAATCCTTCCTCCAATGGGCCAACCTTCTCACTACCACCTTTCGCCCCCAGAAAACCATTGATGACTACCTTGAACAATTCTGCCACCTCCGCCACACCGGTCCTGTGGACCGCTTCGTCCAATATGTCCACTCCCTCCGCCACCACATCCCCACCACCGTCATTCCTGACTTTGCGTTCATCTCCTGCATCAAACGAGTACGCCACAAAGACCTTGCAACTGCCCTCGCCCACGAACCCGACATGCCCCTTGCTGACCTCCTCTCTCGCATGCTTCACCACGATCGACTCCTCCACCGCCATCACCAGCCTGCGCCCGCCCCCTCCCGCACCCGCTTTTTCCATCACATCACCCCTGAAGACACCACCTCCATCCCTTCCTCGGACGAGTTCACCACACCTCACCCCGACGCATCTTCCGATTCACTCGACTCTTCATCCCTAACTCCCGAGGAACTCAATGTCGTCCAATTCATGAGAATGGAGCGCARAGATCRCAGCTCCCGWCCACCCTCATCTACCCCACCCTCCCGCCTCAAGAAACTCACCCTCGAGGAGCGCACCTACCTCCAAGCAAACGGGGTTTGCTTCCGTTGTCGCCAATTGGGGCACCAACAAACCAATTGCCCCAACGCCGCACAATTCACCCGCCAGTCCGCCTCCACTCGACCCGCAACCTCCGCATCATCGCCCTCGGCAAGCGAAGGTCCCTCCTCGTCATGAACACAATCCCCAGGACATTGTCCCGGCATCGATATCGCGTTTGTCGGCCCACCCATCGGCGACGTCCTTCGTCCCACCGATGGCTCATCTGGCATCGACAATTCGTCTGCCTCCCCCCTCTCCGGTGACGCCCCCTCCACCGGACGACTCCCAGGCGTCGCAAACGCCTCCCACTGCCTCAGGCTCCTCTACCCTTCTTCCAAACACATCCACTGTCACCTTCTCCGATGTTGTTGAGGAACAAGCTCGACACGATCGGCTTGCCTGCTTAGGCAACGAACAATGCCGCCTCAACACCATCATCTCCACCGCCAACTCGTCTCGTTTCCACCTCAAATTCATCGCCGCCACCCTTGGTGTGTCTACAACTAAGTTTCGGGCCCTCCTCGACATTGGAGCCACCGGTAACTTCATCACCGACGCGTGTGTCCGCAAAGCCGGTCTTACCTCTACCGATTATGACTCCCCGATCATGATCCGCCTAGGGGACAAAGACACCGCCGTCGTACTAGACCGCACGGTTCCCGAGACCACCATGACCGTCGGAACCCTCCGCAGTCAGGTCTCGTTTGATGTCATGCACTTGATGTGCGACATCGTCTTAGGAACCCCGTGGCTGGACCGCTACATGCCATACGCATTCCACCCCAACTTCCTTCACCTCACCAACCCCCCGACACAACAATCGACATCCCCATCTCCCATATCCGACCTCCCAAGGGTCTGTCACCCCGCACCAATTCCTCCACATGGCTCGCCTAAACCCCGACTCCGCCTACTATTGTCTTGTCCTTGATCGCGAAAGTCCCAAGGACTTACTCCCGACGGACAAACCCGATCAAGCCCCCCCCTCCAACCCCGCCATCACGTCAATCCTCGACGAGTTCAAGGACGTCTTTCCTGAGTCCTTACCCGTCGGACTACCTCCGGATCATGGCGTATCCCATACAATCGATTTGGAACCCGGACATTCTCCACCTTGCCGCCCCCTATACCAACTCTCTGTCCCCGAAGCTGAAGAAATGAAGCAGCAACTCAGTGAACTCCTTGAAAAAGGGTTCATTAAGCCACAACTTCATCCCCCTTCGGAACCAGCTGCCTTTTCGTCAAGAAAGGTGGAACTTCGGAACTCTGCATGTGCACAGACTACCGCACCTTGAACCGGATCACGATCAAGAACAAGTACCCCCTACCTCGGATTTCTGAGTTCCTTGATCATCTCCGTGGAGCCAAGTACTTTTCCAAGATCGACCTTCGCAGTGGCTTCCACCAGATCCGTATCCGCGATGAGGACACCCACAAGACCGCCTTCCGCTCTCGGTTCGGGCACTACGAGTTCCTCGTGATGCCATTCAGACTCACCAATGCCCCCGCTACTTTCCAATCTACCATGAACCACATCTTCCGCAACCTCCTCGAAGTCTGTGTCGTCGTCTACCTTGATGACATCCTTGTCTTCAGCCCCACCTTCGAGTCCCGCCTTCAACACCTCCGCCAAGTCCTCTCGATCCTCCGGGAGCAAAAATTCTACGCCAAGCTCAGCAAATATACATTTGCCGTTCGAGCGTCGAATACCTCAGCCACATTGTCTCCGCTAAAGGCATCCGTATGGACCCCTCGAAGGTCACAACCCTCGTCGAGGACCCCCCACCCAAGACCCTCCTCCAACTCCGTTCCTTCCTCGGCCTTGCCAACTATTACCGCCCGTTCATTCGCAACTTTTCCGAGATCTCTAACCCTCTCCACTAACTCACCCGCAAGGACGAGCCCTTCCATTGGAACGATCGCCGCCAACACGCTTTCGACTTGCTCAAGCAAACCATCACCACGGCCCCTGTCCTCAAGATCGCCGACCCCACTCGCCATTTCTATGTCACCACTGACGCCTCCGACTTCGCCATCGGAGGCGTACTGTCCCAACATTTCCCCCGCGACGCCGCCGAGACCCCCTCCATCAAGGACTCGCCCACTCACCCCGAGGCTCCACCTGGAGAATACCCCATCGCCTTCGCAAGCAAGAAGTTCCTTCCCACGTTGATGAATTACCCCTCCAAGGAGAAGGAACTCCTCGCCGTGATTCACGCCCTTACAGTGTGGCACCCGTACCTCGACGGGCAATACTTCACCATCCGCACTGACAACACCATTGTCTCCTCCATCCTCTCCAAGAAAGATATCACTCCACGCCAAACCCGCTGGCTAGAATTCCTTGCCCAGTTCACATTCACCATTTGCCATACCCCCGACAAAAGCAACCGCGTTGCGGATACCCTCTCTCGACGACCCGACGACCCGACCACAAGCCCCCCGAGAAAGTCTACGCCACCATGACTCATATCCAACTCCTCCCATCACCGATACACCCAAGGCTACCTCTCTTGCACAGACTTCGCCACCATCTACAACAAGCTCTGCAATCTTGACCCTGTCCCCGACTACTCCCTTCACGACAACCTTCTCTACATCAATACCAAAGGCACTCGCCGACTTTGCATCCCCGACGCACGTGGTCTCCAAGCCTGCAGGACACCTCGGTTTCCAAAAAACCTTCGACACCATCTCCCGCTACTTCTACTGGCCTTCCTTGCTTGCTAACGTCAAAGCATACATTCGCTCGTGCCCCACGTGTCAAGTTGTCAACCCCTCGAACCGGGCCAAGCCCGGCAAGCTCCAATTATTGGCCATCCCAACTCACCGGTGGCAGTCCATCTCCATGGACTTCGTGTGCGGCCTCCCCAAGACCGACCGCGGGCATGATTGCATCTACGTCATTGTCTGCCGCTTGACCAAACGTGCCCACTTCATCCCTTGCACGACCTCGCACAGTGCCAAAGACGTCACCACACTCTTCTTCGACCATGTTGCTCGCCATCACGGCCTCCCCGAGAACATCATCAGTGACCGTGATCCTCGCTTCCTCTCACAATTCTGGAAACACCTCTTCACGGCCTACGGAACCACGCTCAAGTATAGCACTGCATTCCACCCACAGACCGATGGACAAACAAAGAAAATGAACGATTTTCTCCAAAGAATCCTGCGGAAGTATTGTCATCCACACCAACACGATTGGGATCAGTTGCTCACAACCGCCGAGATTGCCTACAACAACGCCGTCTGCCCTTCCACCGACATGTCCCCATTCTACCTCGACCTCGGCTACCACCCTCGCTTGCCCTCTGACTTCTTGCTCCCTTCGCAGCTTAACCCATCCACCCCCTGCCCCTCTCTCAATGCATGGGTAGCAACAATGAACAGACTCCTGAGAGAAGCCTCCGAAGCCATTGAACGAACCCAAGAACAACAAGCCAACATAGACGCGACGTGTCATTCAAGGTAGGGGACAAAGTTTGGCTCTCCGCCAAACGCTTTGAACCCGAACACGGCTTGTCCAATAAACTCTCCAACAAATGGTTCGATCCCTTCCCCATCATTGAACAAACCTAAGCCACAAACTCCAACTTCCCCCTGACATGAGTCGTGTCCACCCAGTCTTCCATGTCGAGTACCTAAAAGAATACCATGAATCCCCGCTCCAGTTCGCCGACCGCCCATATCCTAGACCTCCACCAATCATGCTACCCACAGACCCTGAATTGTCGAAACCATCATCGGCCGACGAACCACTTAGGTATCTGATCATCCGGAACCAAYCACTGAATACAAAGTCAAATGGACCGGATACCCCGACGAAGAATCTACATGGGAACCTCTCTCTAATCCTAGGATCGCCATGAAACTTGTCCGCGCCTATGATCGTGCTAATCCTATGTCCTAGATACCTATATAACTATGGCATAAACCCTGCTACAACCTCACAACCTCGCTCTACACACACCCTTGAACCCCGTCCACCCTCCCCTTGACCCTCATTCCTGATGTCTGATCTGCCCTTGACCCTCATTCCTGATGTCTGATCGGCCGATCAGGTTGATTGATCGATCTATAATCCGAAAGTCCAGATTCACAAGCGCAGCTCCGATACCAATTGAAGCATGCCCAATCGGGCGATGTAGGGGGAGCCAAGGATCCGCAAAGTGATGAAATGGGCTCGTATGGACAATGCTGCGTCAGCCAAGCATCAACAAGCAATGTACATCCATATACATATGGAATAGCACAATGTAGCGTAGCAAAAGACTCAAGATATGATCTGACCTGTCAGATACTGACGCAACACCCCATCATACACCACGCATGTGTGAGAGAGAGGAGGGACCGCATACATAGAAGAAAGGTCCCTCCTTGCACACGCACATGGGGGGAGATACCACGGACGAGAGATGGGGGGAGGCAAGACGAAGATGGGGGCAAGGGAGAAGACCGAGATTGCTATAGCGAAGTCCAAAAAATAGCCCCTGGCCGAGTGTCCAATCAATATCTGCCGCAAAAAAATGTCGAATCAGTTCCTAGGCATATGCCCGTGAAACTTCTACTCTCTCTCTCTCTCTCTCTCTCTCTCTCTCTCTCTCTCTCTCTCTCTCTCTCTCTCTCTCTCTCTCTCTCTCTCTCTCTTTTTCTGAAAAAAGAAGAAGAAGAAGAAGAAGAAGAAGAAGAAGGAAGGAAGAAGAAGAGGTGGAGGGCGAGAACAGACGAAAGAGGAAGAAGATGATATCGCCCTGCTCACTGTCTCACCTGCAGGTGACTGCTGCCAAGTACTGACGTCGCCGGCGTACGCTGTGTTGCAGGTCGCTGAAGCCAAGTCCAGCTATGGCGCCCAGGTACGTGCTCGAACGCTGCAGGTATGGCCTCCGCCCTATCTCCTGCCTACTCCACTAATCCTAACGCAGCGCAGCGCTATCGGTGCGGTGCTGGTCCAGCAGCGTAGCGCCCAAGAAGTGAGCTACTCGAACTGTGTAGTGCCCAACCGCTGCCTACCTGGTAATCCGTGGATTAGAGATGAGGGGGACCACCCATGGACCTTGTCCAGCAAAGGCAACAAATGGCTATCCTGGATCAAACAGGGTGTTTGGCGAGTAGGTGACATATGGAATGAGGATAAGAAAAGCTGGCTGGACGAGGTGGACTTCAAGACCCGCTTGAAAGGTTGCCATCACAGGGACGAAAACCTCCGAAAGATAATATAGAGCATCCCATGTAGCTGGATAGATATTCTAAAAGAAGAGTTCACATGGAAGCCAGGCGAGTGGGGAGTCCTGGTCCAAGAATCCTCCCCAGTCAAAGCATATCAATTCTAGCACCGACAGTCCACACCTGGTCCAAGATGTAAGCCAGATGAACTATACATTCAGAACATCAATCCTGAAAAAGCAGTGCTGAATGCATTCACGTTGCGGAAAATAAGGACACTAGCTCTCTGGCCTAAAATGATCTTCCAAATAAACACAGCAATACAAGACCTGGAGTTCGACCCATCAGAATGGGCATAGCGCCCAGAAAGAAATAGAATGGTCAAACCACCAATTCCAATATATGATTATACAGTTAACCTGGGTTATAAAATGTTGTTAAAAACAAAGGACCCTGACCCAACAATCAAGGGAAGATGGAGCAAGTTAACTGGACCAGAGGCAGACCAAAAATCCCATGGAAGAAGTACAAAACGATAAGACCTATAAAAATCAGAAGCATGCAATGGCTCATAACCTATGTGGCTCTACCAGTTAACCAGTGGCTACATGTAAGAAGAAGAAAGAACAACCCAACCAGCTCTGATGTCTGTGTAGTCTGCTCTGATCAACAAAAGGAAGATGTGATACACTGCCTAATTAACTGTAAGAAGCCACAAAGTATTGGGAAAGAGCATCAACACTTTGGGATAGTCTATTCTCATCTTCCCTCCCAGAGCACCCCCTTCAACTTCTCCTATGAACTAACTTACCCTCTAACTTCGGCAAATCAGAGAAAATCTGGTTCAGGACGGTGCACAAGATCACGCTTTGGGCCATTCGGAAGGAGAGGTGCAGCAGAACACTGGAAGGCACGAGGAACCCACGGGAGAAAGTGTGGGCGGCAACCAAGGAGATTATTGAAGCGGAAATCCTATGTCAATGGAGGAAGGTGAAACTCCGGGTGCAAAACAGTCCAGAAACAAAACAGGTGATACTTGCCAAATTCAGACGGGTCTGGTTGGTTGATGACAAAGTGGCTTGCCTAAATGGGCATGCTTTAAGATGGAAAGAGTGGCACAACTCTGTCAAGTCCGTAGGCCAGATGATTACTCAGGTACACGAAGATTCCTCTTCAATCTGGGCCTAGATGAACATCGAGAGACACTTATGGTAGGCGACAGCAGAGTTTTCACAAGGAATGGATGGAAAAATAAATTAAGGTGGTCTAGGGTTTAGGAGCAGGCTAGGAGCAGAAACAAGATAAGCAGGGAGCAGAAGGATAGAGATTAAAGAAAGGGGGGTTTAACATTCAAAGATTCAAGGGATTTAGATAGAGTTTGGGGTTCAAGTGTGGCTTGTTAAAAGCATGAGTAGGAGAGCAACAGTGGTAGTCCTGAAATAGAGCCTTCATAATTAGGAAAAGATACACAAGATTACCTAGGTTCTAGGGTTTATGAATTAGGAGTCTCGTTAAAACTGTAGCTGAGGGTTTAGGGTTCTAGACAATCAAGGCAAATAGGGTGCAGACTGGTAGGGATCTCATGAGGCACATGGGCAGGGATCAGAGTTTAGACAGAATTGGCAGCCTTTGTAGCGTCGAGGCCCTTTCTGGCCAGTTATGTTCTATCTGACAGGCCATTATAGTGGACCTGAGAGGAAAGGGCAAAGCACAACAAGATGACAGTCAATCCTCCACGATGCTGGAGTAATCAATGCTGGTCAGGGTTCCTTCAGCCAGATGGAAGGAAGCGTATGTGGGTTCATTGCAAGGAAAATGAGCAATAGCGAGATGACAATATACAGATTGCACAATCACATTGAAAGCCAGATCGTATCACAGTGTTCAAAAAGCAGCACTGCACGAATATGACACCAATGGAGAATCATAGCACTGAAAACCAATTTCAATGAGAGCTTGCTCTCGCCACCACCAACATATGTATCTAGTTCCTATCTCCCTACTTAGCGCTCGGCGCCCAGCCTACTCCCTACACAGCTACTACTAGCCTACTGATTGGCAATGCAACTGCTGACGTTAGCAGCCTCTGAAGTACTTGAAGATGTTGCCCATGCAGACCATCGCCAATACCAGGTATGTGCCCTCACATCATCATCATCATCATCATCATCCTTCTCTCTCTCCCTCGTCTTACTCCCACGTCTTCCCTCTTGTACACCCGAAGACCACCCCTGCGCCTCACTGTAGTCCAAGCCCGCCAGCTATGGTGGCTGGGCTATGGCGCTGCCCTCAGCAGCGCCCTTCTCCTTCACACGACCACACGTACCCGCGCCTTGCCTCTCAGCGCCTATCGCAGCCCACGAGCCTTTTCTCCGGCAGCGCTGCCGCTAGGCATGCAAGTGCGTGAATGAGCTGCCAGCCAGCGAGCTCTTTCCTATATGGAAAAAAGTTGGCCTGGCTTCGCAGCCTGGCTGCCCTGAGCTGGCCCCCAAAAGCTTCCGGTAGGCCCCAGGGTGCTGTGCCACTGGTGCGGCTACTGGGCCTCATTCGGTTGGGCCTCCCAACACTCTGTGTACGAGACTGCGA